CCCATTGTGGTTAATATACCACAAAAACAAAGCAAACTATACATTTTTGAAAAAAAGAAAGGAGGAAATTTTGTTGGCATTAAATAACCCATTGTGGTTAATATACCACAAAAACAAAGCAAACTATACATTTTTGAAAAAAAGAAAGGAGGAAATTTTGTTGGCATTAAATAACCCATTGTGGTTAATATACCACAAAACAAAGCAAACTATACATTTTTGAAAAAAAAAAGAAAGGAGGAAATTTTGTTGGCATTAAATAACCCATTGTGGTTAATATACCACAAAACAAAGCAAACTATACATTTTTTGAAAAAAGAAAGGAGGAAATTTTGTTGGCATTAAATAACCCATTGTGGTTAATATACCACAAAACAAAGCAAACTATACATTTTTGAAAAAAAAAAAAAGGAGGAAATTTTGTTGGCATTAAATAACCCATTGTGGTTAATATACCACAAAACAAAGCAAACTATACATTTTTGAAAAAAAAAAAAGGAGGAAATTTTGTTGGCATTAAATAACCCATTGTGGTTAATATACCAAAACAAAGCAAACTATACATTTTGAAAAAAAGAAAGGAGGAAATTTTGTTGGCATTAAATAACCCATTGTGGTTAATATACCACAAAACAAAGCAAACTATACATTTTGAAAAAAAGAAAGGAGGAAATTTTGTTGGCATTAAATAACTCATTGTGGTTGATATACCACAAAACAAAGCAAACTATACATTTTTTGAAAAAAAGAAAGGAGGAAATTTTGTTGGCATTAAATAACCCATTGTGGTTGATATACCACAAAAACAAAGCAAACTATACATTTTGAAAAAAAAAAAAGGAGGAAATTTTGTTAGCATTAAATAACCCATTGTGGTTGATATACCACAAAACAAAGCAAACTATACATTTTTGAAAAAAGAAAGGAGGAAATTTTGTTGGCATTAAATAACCCATTGTGGTTGATATACCACAAAACAAAGCAAACTATACATTTTTGAAAAAAAAAGAAAGGAGGAAATTTTGTTGGCATTAAATAACCCATTGAGGTTAATATACCACAAAACAAAGCAAACTATACATTTTTGAAAAAAAAGAAAGGAGGAAATTTTGTTGGCATTAAATAACCCATTGTGGTTAATATACCACAAAACAAAGCAAACTATACATTTTTGAAAAAAAAAAAGGAGGAAATTTTGTTGGCATTAAAAAACCCATTGAGGTTAATATACCACAAAACAAAGCAAACTATACATTTTTGAAAAAAAGAAAGGAGGAAATTGTAAGCATTAAATAACCCATTGAGGTTAATATACCACAAAACAAAGCAAACTATACATTTTGAAAAAAAAAAAGGAGGAAATTTTGTTGGCATTAAATAACCCATTGTGGTTAATATACCACAAAACAAAGCAAACTATACATTTGAAAAAAAAAAAGAAAGGAGGAAATTTTGTTGGCATTAAATAACCCATTGTGGTTAATATACCACAAAACAAAGCAAACTATACATTTTTGAAAAAAAAAAAAGGAGGAAATTTTGTTGGCATTAAATAACCCATTGAGGTTAATATACCACAAAACAAAGCAAACTATACACATTTTGAAAAAAAAAGGAGGAAATTTTGTTGGCATTAAATAACCCATTGTGGTTAATATACCACAAAACAAAGCAAACTATACATTTTTTGAAAAAAAAGAAAGGAGGAAATTTTGTTGGCATTAAATAACCCATTGTGGTTAATATACCACAAAACAAAGCAAACTATACATTTTTGAAAAAAAAGAAAGGAGGAAATTTTGTTGGCATTAAATAACCCATTGTGGTTAATATACCACAAAACAAAGCAAACTATACATTTTGAAAAAAGAAAGGAGGAAATTTTGTTGGCATTAAATAACCCATTGAGGTTAATATACCACAAAAAACAAAGCAAACTATACATTTTTGAAAAAAAGAAAGGAGGAAATTTTGTTGGCATTAAATAACCCATTGAGGTTAATATACCACAAAACAAAGCAAACTATACATTTTTGAAAAAAAGAAAGGAGGAAATTTTGTTGGCATTAAATAACCCATTGAGGTTAATATACCACAAAACAAAGCAAACTATACATTTTTGAAAAAAAGAAAGGAGGAAATCTTGTAAGCATTAAATAACCCATTGAGGTTAATATACCACAAAACAAAGCAAACTATACATTTTTGAAAAAAAGAAAGGAGGAAATTTTGTTGGCATTAATTAACCCATTGTGGTTAATATACCACAAAACAAAGCAAACTATACATTTTTGAAAAAAAAAAGGAGGAAATTTTGTTGGCATTAAATAACCCATTGTGGTTAATATACCACAAAACAAAGCAAACTATACATTTTTGAAAAAGAAAGGAGGAAATTTTGTTGGCATTAAATAACCCATTGAGGTTAATATACCACAAAAAACAAAGCAAACTATACATTTTTGAAAAAAAAAAAAAAGGAGGAAATTTTGTTGGCATTAAATAACCCATTGAGGTTAATATACCACAAAACAAAGCAAACTATACATTTTGAAAAAAAAGAAAGGAGGAAATTTTGTTGGCATTAAATAACCCATTGTGGTTAATATACCACAAAACAAAGCAAACTATACATTTTTTGAAAAAAAGAAAGGAGGAAATTTTGTTGGCATTAAATAACCCATTGTGGTTAATATACCACAAAACAAAGCAAACTATACATTTTGAAAAAAAAAAAAGAAAGGAGGAAATTTTGTTGGCATTAAATAACCCATTGTGGTTGATATACCACAAAACAAAAGCAAACTATACATTTTTGAAAAAAAAAAAGGAGGAAATTTTGTTGGCATTAAATAACCCATTGAGGTTAATATACCACAAAACAAAGCAAACTATACATTTTGAAAAAAAAGAAAGGAGGAAATTTTGTTGGCATTAAATAACCCATTGTGGTTAATATACCACAAAACAAAGCAAACTATACATTTTTGAAAAAAAGAAAGGAGGAAATTTTGTTGGCATTAAATAACCCATTGTGGTTAATATACCACAAAACAAAGCAAACTATACATTTTTGAAAAAAGAAAGGAGGAAATTTTGTTGGCATTAAATAACCCATTGTGGTTAATATACCACAAAACAAAGCAAACTATACATTTTTGAAAAAAAGAAAGGAGGAAATTTTGTTGGCATTAAATAACCCATTGTGGTTAATATACCACAAAACAAAGCAAACTATACATTTTGAAAAAAAAAGAAAGGAGGAAATTTTGTTGGCATTAAATAACCCATTGTGGTTAATATACCACAAAACAAAGCAAACTATACATTTTTGAAAAAAAGAAAGGAGGAAATTTTGTTGGCATTAAATAACCCATTGTGGTTGATATACCACAAAACAAAGCAAACTATACATTTTTGAAAAAAAGAAAGGAGGAAATTTTGTTGGCATTAAATAACCCATTGAGGTTAATATACCACAAAACAAAGCAAACTATACATTTTTGAAAAAAAGAAAGGAGGAAATTTTGTTGGCATTAAATAACCCATTGTGGTTAATATACCACAAAACAAAGCAAACTATACATTTTTGAAAAAAAGCAAGGAGGAAATTTTGTTGGCATTAAATAACCCATTGTGGTTAATATACCACAAAACAAAGCAAACTATACATTTTTGAAAAAAAGAAAGGAGGAAATTTTGTTGGCATTAAATAACCCATTGAGGTTGATATGCCGTAAAACAAAACAAAGAAATCAAACTGTTCTGTTTCCACCAAATCTTTTTGTAGTACCCAGCTGAGGGGTTGAACTCACAATTAATATGTCATCAAATTCACAAACTCTAGCCTTTTGTCCTGTGGGACAATCCTGGGTCTAGAACCAGGTATCTTAATCTGCCCATGAAACAAATTTTATGAAGAAAAAAAACTACTTTATAGAATGAAACAAAAAAAAAAATAAAGAAATCAGATAAAAAAAAAATTCAGTGTCAGGAGAAGCTGAACTACTTCCTTTATAAAAGACAATAACTTGAAATAAAATTATCTGCAAAAAAAATGGGTTTCAAAAGGACGGTTATTCCCTTGACACTGCTATTATTGTATACATTTTTGACACCCTCGACAATGTTTGTTTTAAAAAACGATGATTTGAATTTTAAGAAAACCCAAAAGTAAATTTATACATTTTTATTTTTGAGAATTGACAACAAAATTATTTGGCACTATTTATTTATCTGTCTTGATTATGACATCTGTGTCCTGCGTAAGATGATAAACTATGTCCAGCAGCAAGGCCTCTGATCAGGAGGTTTTGAGGAGCAGGGAACCACCTCTTGGTTGCTGGTGTTCCCAGGTCTACCCTGGCCATGGGTGGTGGCACCTGTTGGTGTCCCAGCTATGGGCAAATAGTTGTCCCTAGTCTGGTGCCAAGGTGCTATGAAAGTGTAAAAATAGGTTTTAATACCAAAAATACTTGTAAAAAATTATTACCAACAATACATTTATGAAAAAAAAAAATTACCAGCAATAAAAATCTTGTCAGCATTGAATAACCCATTGAGGTTGATATGCCGTAAAACAAACTAAACTATTTATTTATTAGAGTAAGTCAAAAGTATATATTGCAATAGTTGTGTGAAGGGAATAACTGTTTGAGATACCTTCTTTTTTTTTTCCTTTGCACGCACAAATGTTAAAAATTGCTACTTGATTATTGTGCGGTTGTTTAGTCACCTTAATATGTAAAGCTCTCTGGCTATCTGATGAACTGAAATTGTTTGTTGCTGGATAATGAGAGAGAGAATTAATTAAAAAGGCGTGTTACAAGGTGATGTTAAAAAGTCGGGTGTGAAACCTGACTTCCCAAAATTTTTTTTTTTTTTTTTTTTTTTTTTTTTTTTGGTTGTATTGGAAAATTTTCCTCACCCTCTCATATAAACTGTGAATTAGGGTTATAACCCCCAGTTTTATAACTTATCTTTTTCTTTTATTATTAAAGCAACATTGTGAAGAAATTCCCCACCATGAATTGACAAAACGGTTGACCAATCAGTGGGAAAGTTTGACTCCCGAGAAGAAACAGGTATGTTATATTTATGGCTTTTCTATCTTGAATACTTTGAGGTTTTTGATTTCATCGTTATGGCTTTCTCACCATGCTCAAAGCACTACACAGAGGGAAGATAATCAAGACAATATTTTTAGTGTCATGGGTGGGGGTGAAACTGATTTGACTTATACTAAGGAGTCTCTCACCTGGCTGTAAAGTTTTTGAGGCAAACTGAAGAGAATGTTTAATTAATGGATTGATTTGTTTTTTATGGCTTATCAACCCTTTGCAGGTTTATACTTTTTTTTTTTTTTTGTTGAGATAATAATGATTTAGTGATACTAGTCTTACTGATTAACCCATAGCTTTGGGGGGAAGTGGTGTATTCATACCTAAACAGAATCTGATAAACAAAAATTATGTGGATATAAAGTGGGGATCTATTTTATTTTAAAATCATATATGAACTGATCCCTCACTTTGTGGCCATGGTAGTTTCTATAAATTTCTATTCCAGAGAATGTAAATAAATCTAAAAGACATGCCTGTGTAGCTAATCAATATTTCATTAGGTATGAATCCACCTCTTCTCCCCCTAGCTATGGGTTAATTCGTAAAACTTGTATCACGGAACCATTATCATCCCCCAAAAAATAAAAATAAAATTCTGACAATCTAAAAATATTTTTGGTCTTTAAATAATCTGCAAAGGGTTGATAGGCTGTAAAAAATGAATGAATGAATCAATTTTTGAAGTAACAACGAATTTGGAAGAATTACAATCCTTAAATATTCAGTAATTTTTCTTTTGTTTTTATTTATTTATTTACTTTTAGAAATTTCATCCTACTTCTTTGGAAAAAACAAAACAAAACAAAGAAAACAAAATTATGCTTTACTGTAAGAATGCAAATAATTGGTTTTAAAAATTCTTTTTCAGGTCTATTATGACATGTACGATCCGCTAAAGGACCAATCGTCCAAGAAGTTCCTCAATCAAGAAACAAGTGAGGAATTGGCTCGGAAGCAGTCTGAAGAAGCAGCTGTAGCGGCTGCCAATATTTTGACCGATTCTGTTGCCATCAAAGAGGAAAGAATGGACACATAAGCAGCTGTGAGGTCTTATTCATTGGAAAAACAAGAAAACATCCCAAAAGTGACAGTTTAACCAGCCAGAGAATTTTTTTCTATTTTTAACTGGACTCCTAAAGATTTGGTTTTTACTTTTGGGAATCTGGCAAAAACAAATGTTTAAAAATCACTTGGATGCAATGTTTGCTTTTTTATTTTTTATTAAAAAAAAGAAAAAAAAAACTACAAAAAAAAAAAAAAAATAATAATAAAAAAAAACCCCAAAAAACCACTTTGCTTTTCAAGATGGATAATCTTCAACATGCGAGTCACGGTTTACAAGCAACATCTTCTTCCAAATCACGACTCATAAACTATTCTATTTATTTATTTTTTCTTTTTACAAAATACAAGTTTTTTTGTTTCCACCCTCAAAAATCAGTATTTGTAGTGAAAGTTAAAAAAAAAATAAAAATAAATTTTAAATATGAGGCCAACTAAAAAAAAAACTCATAATATGAACTCAAGTAAAAAAAAAAAAAAAATGTCTGCTCCTTTCACCAGACATAAATTGGAGTGGAAAAGAGACTAAAAAGCTCATCTTATCTCTTTATTTTTATCATCAGATAAGATATTATATCTCCATAAACTTTAAGAGTCATTTTATCTAGAGACCCATTTTTTTATATTATATATATATATATATATATATATATATATATATATATATATATAAAAATTATTTTTAGATGGTGTATCTGTAAAGAAACAAAATGATTAAAAAGATGAATAACTATTCTTAGCCAACGCATTTCGTCCACAGAAGACAAAAACACATTGGCTGAGAATAGTTTTCCTATTGTCTTTTTATTCATAAAATAAATATATATATATATATATATATTGGTGCAGTATGTATAATATTATAAAGCAGTAATCATCCAAAGAATTAATAAGTAAAGTTAATGTAATTAATGGCGAAATCACTTTGCTAAAAGATCAATAAAATATGAACTTACTAACAGCTCTCTGAATGACATGATCCTCATGTTTAAAATTAGAAGATGTATTAGATATTCTTTTACAAGTACTTTCGAAGAAATTCACTTCTTCTTTCATCGTTAGGTACAAATATTGTTTGCATTTCAGGCAAATTTCCAAGGTGAAAATAAATGTATTGCAAACTGAAAGATGCTTTTTTTAAAAAGTCTGCTATTTATGAATGGTACAATTTTGGGACATGTGGTGTCGCAACACTAGAGTTGTATTTTGAATATTTCAAGTGAGAAAAAATTTTTTTTTTTTTTTTGACAATGAAGGAGCGAATTTCTTGGAAAGTACTTGTAAAAGAATATCTAATACATCTTATAATTTTAAATATAAGTTCATATTTTATTGATTTGTTAGCAAAGTGATTTTGCCATTAATTACATTAACTTATTAATTCTTTGGACGATTACTTCTTTATAATAAATATATATATATATATATATACACATACACACGCACAAATGACAAAGAACAGATGGAGTAAAAATTTCACTGTTCGTTGCATTTACTTTTAAAAAAAGTGCTCAATAAAAAGTAGAGCAATATATTGTTTTTATTATAAGAAATTAGAACAAAAACATTGAAATCGCTACACAATAGCTTTCGTGTTTCGTTACAATGTTGTACCTCTTCAGGTGGTGGTAAGTAATTGGTGATTAAATGATTCTTAAGAAAATTTCAAAAACAAAGTGTTACTTCTTTTCCAAAAGATAAAGTTGAGAAAACCCAAGGTCAGAATTTAAAATAGACTTGTGTGTTTGTCTTGATCAACCAATTAAATGTCAGATCTACGCTAAATAGAAAATTAAGCTCAGAGGGTGAGGGATGGGGGGGGAGTTATTTTTTTCGTGATATGATAAACCGGAACTTTTTGACAATTGCGGAAAACATGTAAGCAACAAATGTATTGTGGTTGTAGACAAATATGACGACATGTTCAGTTTTTCAAAGGACACTGAGGAAAAGGGTAAGAGGATGATCAGGCATAAAGTTAATTTCAACAGAAAACAGTTTTTTAAAAAAAATTTCCAGATTCAGGAAGCTTAAAGGAACCTGTAGATAAAATTAAAAATGTGGAGTTTCTATATAAGATATTAATAATACTAATTGGACGGCAATACATAGCAATATTAAATCTGAATAAATGAAATAAGATAATTACGCTTAGAGGGTGGACTGTTATTTACTAATAAATTACAGCCATAAGAAATGGTACTAACTAATTTTTTACTTACCATTGCCCGAAGAAGTACAATTAAAGTATTGAAACATGAAAGCTTTTATGTAGCGATTTCAATGTTTTTTATTATAATCTTTTATAATATATAATTAGTAATGGATTTTTATTTAAGCTGACAGATTTAATAACTTTAAACATTATTTTTTAGTGGATACTTGTTTCAAGTAGATACTCTGTTTATTTATTGAACAGTAGATTTTATTTCCATCTACTGGACTAAATATTCAACAAACCTTATCAAAAGTTTCAGACCTGTAATCTCTGGGAAGATTTCTTGAATATTCAGGCTCGTAGACAAGAATAAATATACCTTTAAATAACTAAACAGAAAATCTACTCAAATACAATGGCCACTAGAAATAATGTTTAATAAAATCTATCAGATTGATAAATTAAAAATTTCATCAGTTTTTTTAGACATTGCATTGTTTACCTTTGATTTCAAAACTGAGCAGATTTGAAAATTTCTCAAGTATTTGGGCTTATAGACGAAAAAAAAAATATATATATATACTGCTTAATAAACAGACTCAAATATGAGTATCCACTAAAATAACATCTAAATGATATATATATATATATATATATATATATATATATATATATATATATATATATATATATATATATATATATATATATATATATACACAGGATGTACATAAAGTTCGTGTGCACTTTAAAAATTTGTAACTTTATTTGTATTTGTGATAGAAATAATTTGTAAAAAGGATTAGAAAGAAGTAAATCTATATTTTTTAGGGTTTTACCACATGTCCTCCATCATTAGCAATACAAAGGGTAATACGATTTTGCATTTCATGGAAAACATTTGCCAACTGATTTACAGTAATGCCTGAAATCACATTAGTTATTTTAGCTATACTTAAAACTCGGTACATTAAACTTTATAACATTTTGTACAGATTATTTCTATCGCAAATATAAATAAAGTTATAAATTTTTTAAAGTGCACACAAACTTTATGGACATCCCGTATAAACACGCAGTGAGTGCTGGTGGTAATAAAAGACTACTCGATGTAAAATAACAGCTAATATTTGTATTAATAATAAATGTACTTCCCCCCCTCCATTTGCTATAACTTTATATTTATTATTATTAGTTTTTATTTACACACACGCACACACACATATATATGCTGCAGAGCAAGGGCATGAAATTGAGTGTAGTCATTTCCTGTCAAGTTGGCTCCTTTTCTATTACGATTTTCAACACCCAATCAACCCCCCCCAGCCAAATGGTGAGAGGGAATGGATAGCAGGAAGGAGGTTTTGGTGAAACTGGATGCTTCTCGTCCAAAACCTGCACATTTGCAGGGAATTTAGTCATCAACGCCATCATCACAAGGAAAAGGAAGAAATTAAATTCTTATATATATATATATATATATATATATATATATATATATAAAAACAAGTTTTGTTTCCTTATTTTCAATAGGATCCTCTTATATTTATGGACAAGCTTCTTAGTATCTTTATTAAAGGAAAAGAGAAAATTACAATGTTGATACATATTCATTTATTCCAAGTACTTTGGGGCAATCTCATCATCAGGGTGTTTTTTTTTTCTAAGACAAAATTGTGTTCATCTAAAAGTTAAATTTTTATTTAACTGAAGTGAAAAATGCTAAGGTTATGTACTTTGTCGTTTTAAATTTCACAATGCAAAATATCGGTGAGTTAATTAGGATTATATATATATATATATATATATATATATATATATATATATATATATATATAAACCAAGTATATAATTGGTGTATATGGAATGAATTCAATAACCAACAATTACTATACTTAAAAAAGCGCTCAATACAGAGTAGAGCAGATATAATTATTTATTTAAAAAATTATAACATAAAATATGTTATAAAATCACTACAAAAATAGCCATTTTGTTTCAATACCTCTGGTGTCTTATCAAGTGATGTTGAATGTAAAATAAATGAAAAACCATTTATTTTATCTTCAACATCATCACTTGATAAGACATTGGAGGTGTTGAAACAAAATGGCTATTTTTGTAGTGATTTTATAACATTTATGTTATAATTTTTTTAAATAAATATATATATATATATATATATATATATAAAAATATTTTTTTTTCTTTAGTAAGACTTCTCAATTCTAATGAGTTAATTAATGATTTTGATTAATTGATAAACTAGTGGGGATTTGGGATATGATAGAACAATAACCAGCTGAAATTGAAAATTCACAAACTGATTCCAGCCAACAATGCAGAACAAAATAAAACTTCCCAAAATAATTGCTCACTACAAACCGGCATAGAGGGAAGTTAGGTTTATGTATTTTTATACATAAACCTGAATTCCCTCTTTGTCCTATCGTATCCCAAATCATTAAAATACTAAAACCTTAGCCTCACTTGATGTTATACCGTATTTTCTGGCCTACAAGACACTGCAGCTTGGAAGATGCTTCCTAATGTTGGGAAGAAATTTCTAAGTAAAAAAGTCATTCTCATACAACAAAACATTCAACATGCGTCTCTTGCATACTGGCACCATGTATTGTTTACATAAATCACTCGTTTGATTTTGCTTGTATGGCAATGACATACTAGTCAAGAGCAGAAAACTCCCCCTGCTGCTAGAGCATGTTTAAGGTTGTGGCTCGGCTCCAGGAAGGTTTATAGTCTTCGAAATACTTGTAACAGCTAAATACTCAGGTTATATCAAATAAAAGGCTGAA